GTACTAATTAGTAATAACTACTCTGCGATAAAAAGTACTAATTGGTAATAACTACTCTGCGATAAAAAGTACTAATTGGTAATAACTACTTTATAGTAAAAGTAATAATTGCTCATAACTGCTTTGTGATAAATAGTACTAATTGATAATAACTAATTTTTAGTAAAAAGTACTAATCGGTGAAAATTATTTTTTTTAGTAAAAAGTACTAATCGGTGAAATTTTTTTAAGTAAAAAGTACTAATAGGTAAAAACTAATTTTTAGTGAAAAGTACTAATTGGTAAAAACTAATTTTTAGAAAAAAATACTTATTATAGTAATATATTGCTTTTAAAGTTTTAAATTAAAAATTCATTCTAAAACACTGATTTTTTTTTTTTATTTAACATATGCAAACAGTAGATTTAAAAATATTTCAACAAATTTATTTGTTTGTACAAAATTAACGCATATTTTAATAATAAGTCATTGAATTAATTATTGTAATTTAAACACATTATTTCAAATTTTAATATAACCGATAAGAGTTTTTTCACATTTTCAAAAAAATGAAAACAACCTCCACGGGTAATTGATCTGAATTGTAAATAAACTTTAAGTTTATTTTCAATTCAGATCAATGACCAAAGAGGTAATTTTTTTTTTTTGCTAACATTTTATTGTGTGGATAATTGAAATTAATTGATAATTAATAGTTACTAATAATTTTGTAATAAAAATTAAATTCTTATTTTTAAATCCGAATAATAAGTAGAAAATAATTATTCAAAAGTGAATTATAAAAATAATAAATTATATAATCTTTTTTAAATAAACTTTTTATCATTTCATTCAGATCAATAACCTAAAATTCAATTTTTCGCTATACCATTTTATTGTATGGATAATTTAATTGGATTAAAAATTAATATATAGTTACTAATATAGTTGCAAACATATTTTATTTCATTGAAATAAAAAATTTATTTGATACAAAGAAAAATTTATTTCTGACAAATAAAACTAAACTATATAAAACTTTTACGCCAAAAAAATAAGTTAGTAGGCTATGAGACAAATATAAGTTTATTTAACTCAAATATATTTTATTTGGTTCAAATAAATCATTTCTCTGCGTGTAACATTCAAAATTCAACAATTGTTGAATTTTACTGCCTTAAGGCAGTTAAAAAATAATTATTTCCAAAATTCCTGAATAGAATAAAAATTTTAAATTATATAATCATTTTTTTTTTTTTTACACGTTTCTGGATAATTTGCGCTGCAAGTAACATTCACAAATTAGAACTAATATATATATATATTTTTTTTTTTCGCGTAAGTGGTTTACGAAAGATATATAAACTTAAAACGAAGCCTGGCCGGGTCGTACAATAATAAACGGCCGGACGTTAACGATCTACCCAACGTGATGAATTCAATTTGCAATCAGAATCGACAGTGAAAAGTGTTCATTGAACGAGCGAAATGTCAAAACATTTAGGTAAACGTCGAGTCAATTTCAAATTCCCCAAAAACTATTGCCCGCACTTAATTTCTGTCAATAATATTATTCTCCTTCGCACGTATGTACATACGGCATCACACAATAATCAATTTTCACATCGATTTTTTTTTTGCAAACCTCAAATTCAAATTTTCTAAAAATGTTATTTAATTGACTCAAATAATTATTTAATAAAAATAAATATTTATTTTTTGTCAAGTAATCGATATTATTTGAATTAAATAAATTTTTCTTCATTTGTGTATATTATTATTCTGCTCTACAATGGAAAAACATATATGTCACTTACATATGTTTTTCCATTGTTTTTTATTTCGAAATAATACTGCCATACAGCGAAAAAACATACGTATGTGACACATTCGTTTTTCCAGAATAAAATTATTTTTATTATTATTATTATTATTGTTATTATTGTTATTATTATATATGTGAATATTGTTAAGGATTTTTTTTCCTTCATAAAGAATTCAATCGGCATGTCAATGAAATTTGTTGACGCTAGAAATGAAAAAGAAAATTGTAACGCGTTGTTGAACGCGCGCGGATGAGACGCGGAACGGTCGAGCGGGTTTTCGCAAGAGTGGCACAAGAAACGCAGTGAATTATAGTTAACAGAGGAATTCGTGTTCTTGCTCAGAGTCGTATACCGGGGTCCTCTCTGGAATTCACCGCGGAACAATTACAATTAAGAGCGGTTAGCGAATTACCGAACATTTCAAGCACGCGGCAGATTCCAAGTATATAGTATATAAACCGATAAGAGCTTCTTAGAATGTCCACATATATATATACGCACTCACTTCTCTTTGACAATTTTTAAACATATTTTTATCATCTCACACAATTTTATATACTAACATAAAAAATCTTCGTTTTTTTAAATTTATTTATTTTTTTTCAAATTGTTTTTCATTTCTAATTTTGATTTTTTAATTTTGATTTAATATTAAATTAATTTTTAAATTTTAAATTAATTTTTGATTTTTATTAGTATTTAATTTTAATTTTTGATTTTAATTTAATTTTAATATAAAAGAAAAATTTGTTATTACATACTTGAAATAGTTAAAATTTGCTTTTCTCTTTCTTGACACTTTATGAAAATTTCAATCTTGGACAGCAACTTTCGATCTGTTTTTGTCAACTCTCTCTCTCTCAATCTCGAAAGTTCATTTTTACAAATGAATAAAAATTTTCATACTGAATAAATATTTGAACGAAAATTTCCATAATAATCTAGAAAGAATTTGAAAATTTTAATAGCAAGCAGACATTGATTATCATTTATAAATTAGAATATGTAAATCAGATAAAAAAAAAAAATTTACTTATCAAAAATGACATTCAACTCAAAAAGTACAGATTTTTTTGATTTGTTTAATGAACTCTATATAAAGTTTAGATTTCGTAATATTTTTAAACAAATAGTTTTTTTTTTTTAAATTAAAGTTAAATAAAATTAGTAAAAAAAAAAACAATTTCTCTAATGCAGTTCCCAGGCAAAAGTAAGGTATTTTTTTTTTTTTTTTTTTTTTAATTTTTCGACATTTTCTTCTTCCCGAGTTCTTTTATAGAATCCAATTAATGGCTAAACAATCGCAATGTAAGAATGTGCTGAATTCTACCACGTAAATCGAGACACAAAAGAAGGATAAAGAATTCCGCATGGGCAAGTTTTGTTTTGCATCAGGCGCAATTATTATCAAATCAGCTTCTTCTGTATGGAGCCAAACATTTATACATATATACACCTGAGCGCGCGTGCGAGTACATATACACACATACAACACAACCAAGCTCATTTACTTTTCCACGCGTGTTCTTCCTTGTCCCGAATAATTTATAACCGACAGAAAGTTTTTTCTCACAAAAACAATGAGTTCGAAAAGTAAGTTTACCTGAATGAATTCATAGGATTTGAAAAGAATTTAAAAACAAAACAAATGAAAAAAATTCAAAGTATTTCTGATAACAATTGTTACCTTATATATTTATAAAAAAAAAAATTTTTTTTTTTTTTTTAGTAAAGATTTTGAAACTGTGAAAGATTTTTGAAAAATTGTTTCTGAACTTTTTGGTCCACAATTTACGAATTTGAATCAATTTACATTTATTTAACCCATAAGTAAAACAGTTTTCACACCCAGAGAAAATTTATTACTTGCATTTATTTGAGATAAATTAAGATTTGTTTGAATCAAAAAAAAAAAATACTTGTTTTAAAAGCCGAATAACTTTTTATTTGTTTGATATAAAAAATTTAATTTATCACAAATAACATTTTATTTAGCGTAAATAACATTTTTATTTCAATTAAATAAAATTTATTTGAAGCAAATAAAAATTTATTTAAAACAAACAAAATTGGTATTTGAAGCACATAATAGTTTATTTGAATCAAATAAAAAATTTATCAAAGATCCCAATAACTTTTTCTTTGTTTCTAATAAGAAATTTATATTTGAGTAGAAAAGAAAATTTTATTTAACGTCAATAAAATTTTTATTCAAAAAAAAAAAAAAAAAAAAATTTATTTAAAAACAAATAAAAATGTATTTGAAACAAATTTAAATATATATATTTTATTTAGCGCTAATAAAATTTATTCAAAGCAAATAAAATTTTTTTTTTTAAACAAATAAAAATATATTTGAAGCAAATAAAAATTTATTTTAAACAATAAAAAATTATTCTGAATAAATAAAAATGTATTTGAAGCAAATAAAAAATTATTTGAAACAGATAAAAATTTACTTGGTTCAAAAAAAAAAATTTCTCACAGTTCCTGATAATTTTGTATTTTATTTCAAATAAAAAAGTTTAATTTAACACAAATAACATTTTATTGAGTGCAAATAAAAAATTTTATTTAAACAAAATAAAATTTATTTTAAACAAATTATTTAATTTTTTTAGTTTTCAAAAATAAAAATTGTCATATTTTCATAAAAAAAGATATAAAAAATAAAAACCTAATACTCCCAAGAAAAAAGATATATTTGTCTCACGAGTCAAATAAATATTTATTTGTTTCAAATAAATATTTATTTATTGCAAATAAATATATATTTATTTGTTTCAAATAAATATTTATTTATTGCAAATAAATTTTATTTTATTTAAACTAAAAATTTTATTTATGACAAATAAAATTTATATTTACACCAAATATAAAAAAGAGTTATTAGGCTCTGAGACAAATAAACGTTTATTTAATTCAAATATCAATTATATTTGTTTCAAATAAAACATTTCTCTGAATGTATAAAATTAATACAAAACATGTAAAAAAAAAATTCCTTTACCATTTTTTCTTATTCCAAATTAAATATGATCAAAAAAGAATATTATTTTAAATTAATTTTTATTCTAATTTAAAAATTCTAAAATCGAGAAAAAAAAAAGTATAATGTAGAAACCATTTTGTGATGATATAATTTCTCTCGCAAACTCCAGAACCCACATTCAACATCAATAAATTTTGCTCACCTCCGTCGCTTCTTTTTCCGTCGCCTCCGTCGGCGAGCTCGACTCCTTGTTCGCCCCCAGGACAATGGGGGGGTGGTGGGTCTCGCCTTCAATTTCAGGGCCGTTGCTAGGTTGTTCTCGATTTTTTGGGCCTCGTATCCCTGCACCGGGGGCCTTGTCGCCGCCCCGGCGCTGGGCCCCGTCGTGATTGAAGCCTCCTTCCTTCACCCACGTTCTTTTTCTCTTTCTCTGTCTCTTTATTATTTTTTTGACCTCTAGTCACCTCACCAATTTTTTTTCTATTTCCCCTCTCAATATCACCACATTTAAAAATAATCGACCAATCATTTGTCCCCTCCAACACAATATCAATCGTATAACATTCGGGCCCATTCACCATCACCTCTTATCACACTTTTTTCCTTTCCTTTTTTTTTTTTTTCTCTTGCCTCACTAAAAAAATCCTCTCACCAAATAACCAAATTTCCCTGATAACATCATTTTATCAGACATTAATGAACTTTATTTTTTTGGGGAGAGGGGGGGGGGGAATTTTCTCTCTCTTTCTCTTGATTTAATTAATGTGAGCACAAAAAAAAAAAAATGATGAATGTCTCACATTGGTCAGGTTTTTTTTTCTAACGGAATGATTGTCACGTGTTATTTCCTGAAAGTTTGGAAAAAAAACAAATTGGGCGATATGAGACAAAAAAGAGAGAAAGAGAAAGAATTGCGATTTCTTAGAATGTTATGGTTGGGAAAAAAAAAAAAATTATATTGAATTCGTCGAATTAATTAACGAGCCACTGCGATTACACGTAACTTTCCAAGAGATACGACGACTCTGATCCGCGAATTTTGTCCGCCGGTTTCACAGCCTCCAAACTCACTCACTCACTCACACAACGGGAGCGCCGCGACGCGAAGCGCCTGCACATGCGTTGGAGCTTTTAACCGCCCCCGCCTCCCCCCCGTACTCCACTTCCGACTCCATAAAGCAAAATGCTTTCTCTCTCTCTCTCTCTCTCTCTTGCTCTCCACCCCCTCGTCTTCTTCTCTTCTCCAACCCCCGTCCCCCTCATCTTTCACGGTGGTGGTTGTAGTACCCTATGAAAGCAGGGGACTATCGCGCGCCGTCACGCCGTTCCTTTGTGCGTCAACAAAAGCCCCGATGCGAAATGTATGGCCGATTTCGGAACATTGATTCGTGGTGTAAAATAATTGAAGCGCCCCAACGCAAAGCGAAAGAGGGAGAAAAAAAGATTCTCGCACTTCTATTTTTCTTCTTAAATGTTTAGTCCCATCCTAGTGGAAAAGAAGATTAGATGAGGGGGGGGGGGAAGGGAGAACATAATTCTATAAATATTTATAATCATTAAATTCCGTTCTTATATTATATTTGGATTAATGAGAAAAAATATATATTAATTATTATATTTACCGAATATTTCTATACGTGCAGAAATTTTGCCAGGGCGCAAATCGGGGCCGGATTAGGCTGCCCTATTAGGAAATGAAACGCCGAGCCTGATATGGCCCTGATTAGGAAATACAAATTTTCTATTCGCCCTAATTTGGCACTGATCAAGTGTGTGGTGTTTCATTCCCTACTAGGGCCCTATGGCAAGGCAATTTTTACACGGGTATATATATTAAATAATATTGCTTGGAAAAAAATAAGTTTTCCTTAAATATTATGAATTTAAGAAAAATTTTCCCAACAGTTTAGCGAGAGAAGAAGGAATTCTTCTAAAAAAAAAAAAATTTGCCGATACAATTTGGAAATATTTAATGAGAAATAGAATTTAGCCGAGGAGTAAATGTGCTTGACTATGCTAATCAGCAGACTCGAGTTCGATTCCCGCCGGTTAAATTTTTTTTTTTTTTTACAACAGTGTGAAAACATTTTTTAGTAAACTATATAACCAAAATAGTAACTGTATAGTAAATGTCTAGTGAAACTGACAACGTAAAATTCTACTAATACTATCTAGAACTTTATAGTTTGACTCTATTTAAACGTCATTAACTTTTTTTCATTGAGAAATTAGATTGATTCTGTCAGAAAACTGACTTATTTCTATGCTTAAAAAAATGTATTGGATTTATAATGTAACTGGACAGTTTTTATATAGTTAACTATTTGGAAACTAGATAGTATAACTTTACTTTCTGAAAAAATCCAAATAGTTTACAAATAGTTTAACTATCTAGAAACTAAATAGAATAACTGTCCTAACCTTTCTAAGTAATCTATATTGACTAGATCTGCCGTGTTTTCTAAAAACTTAGGTAACTGCAAAAAAATCGAAAAATGAGTTTCTTATATCGTTGGAATCGTGGAAAAAAGATACACCTGTTAATGCAAATTATTTTTAAAAATTGTTAATATTATTAATAATAATTTTTGCATAAATAATTGAAAATACCGGTAACTGCAAAAATTGATGAGTGATAATTTGAGAAACTTAGGTAACTGCTATAAAAACTTGGGTGTCTTTGGGTGTTGTGACGTATTTTGTAGGTCGTGATTTGAAGAACTTAGGTAACTGCACCAGTGCCTAAGTTTCTCAAAACACGGACCTCATTTTTCGAGCCCTCGTCGCATGGAAAACTTAGGTAACTACAGAGTGCTATCAGAGCACTGTAGTTACCTAAGTTTTCTATGCGACGAGGCCTCGAAAAAGGAGGTCCGTGTTTTGAAGGACCAAGTAACTGCAAAATCTTATACATTTCTTTAAAATTACAATGTTTTTTGTGCAATTAATAATTTATAATGACAATAAATAATGAAATAAAAAACTCTAAATAATAATTTATCAATTATTGAAAAATTAAGTATTAATTTTAATAAATAACATAAAAGCATTAATAAATTAAGAAAATGAAGTTCAGTAATATGTTTATTTCATGATTAATATATAATTAATTTAGTTCAATTATTTAAAAAATTAAAATCGTTTTTAATTATTTAAATAAACGTTAATAAAGCAGCGAACTACATTACCTACAATAATTTGACTTTAATATTGTATAATTAAAATAAATTCAATCATATAGTTTAATATTTGTAAAAAATAATAATTATAATGATAACTTTCGCATCTTACTAAATAATTACACTTTATTATTTATTATTTTTTTAAATTTATTTTTATATTATTTTTATTTTATTTATGTATTTTATTTTATATTATTATTAAATATATTCTGAGTTAATACAATATTTGACTCTAATATTGTATAATTAAAATAAATTTAACCATAAAATTAAATATTTGTAAAAAACAATAATTATAGTGACAACTTTCGCAGCTTATTAAATAATTATAGTTTATTATTTAATATATTTTTACTATTTTTTGCCCAGAAAGATGAAAATTCTTATATATTCCCTGCAGTTACCTAAGTTTTCTGTGCGACGAGAGGCCTAATACGGGCGCTCGTAGCACGAGGAACCAAGTAACTACCAGTTACCTAAGTTTCTCGTGCGACGACCCTCGAATCAGCATACCGGTAACTACATTTTTAATAATTTATTGAATGTTTAAACAAATACAACATTTATTTTTACATAATTAAAAAGAATAAATTTAGACGAATCGAAGGAACAAAACGGCATTTAAAATTTTTAATTAGGCTTTGCGGTATACATATCAATGAAGTTTAAACAGTTTTTCGCGTTTTTCTCGAAATCTTTCATTCTGCAGTTACCAAAGTTTTTAGAAAACACGGCAGAGATAGTTCCTATATTGTTTGAGTATACAGAAACTAGATAATATAACTGTTCTGACCTTTCCGAATAATCGAAATAGTTTTCAAACAGTCTAAATATTTAGAAACTAGACAGTATTACACAGTTTCCATATGATTTAAGTATCTATAAACTTGTTTGTCGGTGCATTATATTTCTAGCCAGTTTCCATACAGTTAAACTATCTTATACTATTCTATTCTGTTAGATAACATATTAATTAATTATTTCTACTTAAAAAAATGTATTGCATTTATTATGTATAACTAAATAGTTTCTATATAGTTAACTGTCTAGAAGCTAGAGAGTATACCTGTCCCGGTCTTTCTAAATAATCTAAATAATTTCCATATAGTTTAAGTATCTGAAAACTAGACAGCGTAACTGTTCACACTCTTCTAAAAAGAACTAAAATAGTTTCTATACAGTTTAAATATCTAAAAACTAGATAAAATGACTGTCCTAACTTTTCAAAATAATCTAGATTGACTAGACAGTTTCCACATAGTTTAAATATCTAAAAACTAAATAGAAAAACTTTTCTAATCTTTTGAAATAATCTAGATTAACTAGATAGTTTCTGTATAGTTTAAGTATTCAGAAACTAGATAGTATAACTGTTCTGACCATTTTAAATAGTCTAAATAGTTTCCATACAGTATAACTATTTAGAAATTAGATAATATAAATGTCTTGAACTTTCTAAAAAATTAAAATAGTTTCCATATAGTTTAAGTATCTGAAAACTAGACAGCGTAACTGTTCACACTCTTCTAAAAAGAACTAAAATAGTTTCTATATAGTTTAAATATCTAAAAACTAGATAAAATGACTGTCCTAACCTTTCAAAATAATCTAGATTGACTAGACTGTTTCCACATAGTTTAAGTATCTCGAAACAAAATAGAATAACTTTTCTAATCTTTTAAAATCGTCTAGATTGATTAGATAGTTTCTGTATAGTTTAATCTAGAAAATTTTTGGCCGTAGCGTAACATTTCTAGCTAGTTTCTATATAGTTAAACTATACAGAGACTTTATAGTTTAACTATATAGAAACTAGATGGTATAACTTTTCTAAATATTCTAGATAATCTAGATAATTTCGATATAGTTTTTATTATCTGGAAACTTATTGGTCGAAGCGCTACATTTCTAGCTAGTTTTAAGGTAGTTTAACTATGCAGTAACTATATAATTAAGTATCTAGAAACTAAATAGTATAAGTTTCCTGAATTTTCTAAATAATCTGGATAAATTCAATATAATTTAGGTATTTACATACTTGTTAGTCGAACCGTTACATTTCTAGCTAGTTTTTATATAGTTAAACTATACAGTGACTATATAGTTAAGAATCTAGGAACTAGATATTATAACATCCTTAAATATTCTAAATAATCTAGATAGTTTTCGTATATAGTTTTCAGTATCTAAAAACTTTTTGGACGAAGCGTTACATTTCCGACTAGTTTCAGGATAGTTTAACTATACAGTAACTAACAGATACTAACAGTATCAAGAAACCAGATAGTATAACTTTCTTTAATTTTCTAAATAATCTAGATAGTTTCAATATAGTTTAAATATTTACAAACTTGTTGGTTCAAGCGTTACATTTCTATCTAGTTTCTATATAGTTTAACTATACAGTGACTATATAGAAAATAGTAAAACTGTATAGAGACGCAAAATATTTTCACTTGAGAACAGATCGAATTATTGACAAAGATTTATTTTATTTATGTGGTAAAAAAAAACAACACTATAAATGTTAAAAACGATAAGAAAATTGAAGAATCTGACAAATGTCGAGAAAAATTTTCCTTGCTATTCAAAAGTCAATGAGAAGACATTCGACCTATAACCTCGGAAGATTTTTTTTTTTTTTTTTTCCTACAAAGAGAGGAAAGAAAAAATCTGCAGAAAATCTCGTGTCCGTTTGGTGAGGCAAAAACTGCTGACGGATTCGCTCGTCAATCTTTCAACTTGCATCGTAAAGCTATCAACCGTTTGCCAGCATCGCACAAGTCGAATTCGAATGGGGATATATAAACTCTTATATGAGAGAAAAAGAGATGAAGAAAAAAAAAAGAGAGAGTGAGTGAGTGAGTGAGTGAGTGAGTGAGAGAGAGAGAGGCAT